GCGGCGCGTGTCCTGTGCGCGAACAATGGACCAAAAGGAAGCTTCGTGCGTGTGTGCGACGAGTCGATATTCCAATTCCGGATGGATAGTTTGTCGTTCGTAGAAATGATTTGTCGGGACAAAAGAGAGAAAGAGAGGGAGAGAGACAGAGAGAGAGAGACAGACAGAGGCGGAATCTCTCATTACGCATGCAATTTGGCCGAGCGCGGCCTCTTTTGTACGGTAATGGGAAAAGCGCCCAGTCATTATACGCCGCGCACGATGCGAGTTCTGCTCGAGCTTCTCAATTCAGTATATAACGAATTGAAGCTCGTTCCTGGAATTCCCACTAGAGCTTTTGTATGGAAAAGCGATTGATTATGTAAAAATTACGCTCGAGGACTATGCGGAATAGAGTTTCTTGCTAAATCAAATTATTTCGAGGAGATAAAACAATAACTACACGTAATCGCAAGCAATTAAAAAGATCTCGCTGCTTCGACGAAAGAATTTGAATTTGATGAAAGTATAACAAAGTATATTCTTTTCCTTCGGTCCAAGCTTACGTAACAGAATAAAAGTCAGCCGAGTGATTCTTGCTGCTCTGCCCCGCATCCGTTTTCACGTGCTCTCTTTTTAACTTCGCTCGAATGCAATGATTATTTCCAGAAGGCGTAATTTATTCCGTTGCCCGTGCAACCACTTTAGCGCCACCGCGGTGTTGCAATGTTCTTCCGTATCCCCCCTGGCGTTCGTCTTCCTTCGTTCGACGTTGCGGTTTAGCTGCCGTCCGATCTAATTTCGCTCTTTCGTTGATTAGCCCTCCGCGAAAGATGTGTGAATATTACAGAAAAGCGATCGTTTATTAGCGTTTACGAAGCGAAAACAATGTTTCGAAATTGAAATAACGAGAGCGAGTTTTAACACCCTCGCGCCAATGACGCAATCAGATAAAATTGACTGCTGGTCTAAACACGCTAAGTGGCAGTTTTGCGAACGGACCGAACGAAAAGCTAATTTGCATGGTCGTCGCGAGGCATGCTGATTCGCGTCTAGTCACTTTAGCTCCAATTACGCATTATGTACCTCCGTTGAAAAGCCAACGACTTGGCGTAATGCAAACTGCACCGTTCCGCTTCTGATGTCTCGTGCAATTGCACTCCGCTGAGAGCGATAAGCTTGTGCCACTACTGCTGCGAATGGATACACAAGCTCCAGTTCAATTTTCGAAGTGACTTTTGCCGATTCGTTCCCGAAAATGATTTCCCAAGTAACGGCAATTCGGTATTAACGACCTTCGGTGTGTTTTTTTCTTTCGCGATATTGCTTTTGCATTTCGACAACTGTGTTTAACGGTTTTCACGCCTAATTCCAACGCTCTCGCGTCCTGCTTCGTTCTCTCTATTCATCGTTCCTAGAAAGCTGCAGCTGTTTATTGCACAATGATCTTAATGCATGCGAATGGGGGGATAATACCGACGCGCTCGGTCGGACAGACTGTAACTCGATGGAAATCGCAGCGAGGATCTGCTTGCTTTCCGTGCAAAACACATCACTCTCTCTCTCTCTCTCTCTCTCTCTCTCTCTCTCTCTCTCTCTCTCTCTCTCTCGCGACGGCTTTATAATCGTCGTCATTAAACAAACACGACGACAATTGCACAAATGTGTGCTCAATCGACAGCCGTGCGCGAGAAAGTCCTTTTGGCGTGGCTGTGACGTCGGCCAATTTGAAGACGCCTTCTTGTTTTTTCCTTCGGTCGTTTTGGGCGGCAACCGTTGACTTTACAGTCTCGGCAGCTCATCTCTCCCTCGCTTTTGTACTTTCTTTCGGCCATTAGTTATAGCGGCTCGACGCAATCCTTTCTTCTCGCTTCTTTGTCTAGAGCCGCGACGGCCTTCCCATCTCTTTTGCGGCGTCCTTGTCGCGCGGCACACACAAGATCCCACACGCGAAAGCGAGACGTAATCTAAGCCTCTCACGCGGAGAAGCAGTCCAGCCAGCTTGCAAAAATCTCGCGCTCGACCGATACTGGCCCGCGCGACGCCTTGCCAACGGGGATCGTCAGCGTTGACGAGCTTTCTCCTGTCGGCGATTTTTCGCGCTCGAGGCTACTTTGCGGCGGCGCATCCCACTTTGACTTGCCGTCGTCGCGTGGCTGCTGCGTTTACGTAAGTTTTTATTTTCATTTCATTAGGCGGCGCTGCCACCGTCGCCGCGGATAACTATTGTATCTCGAATTTGCTTGTATAACGGTAGAGAGACAGTAAAACTTCTCCGGCAAGTTGATTAGTCGTAAATAACAGCAAGCGGCAATCGCACCTAGCTAGCAATTCAATAGAAAGTTTGCATCCATTCGTTTTACGGTAATCAAACGTTCCGTTTTCTCTCTCTCTCTCTCTCGCTCTCCTTGGAGCTCTTGGCTGCTGACGTAATGTAAGAAAAAAATTACTTTCTATCGTGAAACTTTCGACAAAAAACAATTGAGCGGGAGAAGAAATTATTCAAACTTTTCGTTGTGTAGTTGGATACCAAAGACAGGAGAGAAAAAAACGAAAAAAGAACCGATGAGAGACTCGTTTTTACCAATGACGAGCATTCTCCGCACTTATTGGTTATTGTGTCGAATCATCGAATCGACCACCTAACCTGAAACTCGAGCGTACAGCATCGTTACATTTGTATGTATCGTGCGTGTACTCCATTGGTCAGGCTCTCGCTCGCGAGGCAGCTTATTAAGTAAAAGTCACTGCGGCAGCGAGCGGATTAATGAATGGTGAACGCCCATCGATGCGCTGCTTCGTAAGCTATAACCAATACTTCACAAATTATTTTTCGATATTCATGTGTCTCGCTATTTGTAATTTTAGCTGATTTTTATCATTTGATTATACGCGCACGTGAGTATGTGAATTTTCTTAATGAGCGAGTTTACGATTGGAACGGTTGCGGGATTATTCTCCAGCATAATTAAGAAGCTGCATTTGTATAAAAGCAAGTAAATCATTTTAATGAGCTTACAAAGTGATTAGACATTTTTATACGCGCGAGATTGTAATAACAAATGGTATTAATAATTGAAATGCTACGCACCGAAGAAGGTTAATTAAGTACGGGAGTTTCAGATGACGATAAAAGTAAGAAACAATGCTCACCAATTTTGAAAGTCATCGATATCAATTACACTCCAAATGGGATCTCTTTTTTAATCAGCCCCCATACTTCTTTTCCCATGGTCTCGCGTGAAATCTTTCCGATTGCCAACTACTTCTCTCTGCTTCTCTTCTACACACACGTGAAGTGAATACGTGTACGTGAATTGCCGTCGAAGAAAAAGAAAACTGTCGCGCAGAGGCAAACATCATAATTCACTCAGCAACGGTGACGCGCGTTTGCATTTTCACATGCTGAAACCCGGCGCTGCGGCGCGGTGATTGAGTGCACTCGCGCTGCACGATCGATTAGCCCAGCTCGCGGCATTGTCTGTCGTTAATTACGGCGCTGCGTCTCTCCGATTCGGCGGCGACGACCGCCCGCCGATCCCGATTTCTCCGTATATGCCGCCGCTTCCGAGCTTATATTTATTCGTCCCGCAGAGCGAGAGAAGCGATACTTTTGTTTTTGCCGTCGACCGACCACTGATACGCGAGCCCGCGTATAAATAATGAAATGAGGCATCGGTGGTCGATGAACTGTACACCTCGCACTGACACTATCTCGTGGACGTCGACGGAGCTTGTGTCTTCATTATTACACCGCGGCGCTCGCTCCGTCGGTTGCGAATAGATTTTTATTGAGCTTTCACGCTTGTTACCCCCTTACCCACGAATAACATTGTTATGAAAAAGTGCTTTAACGTGTTACCAGTTGCAAAGAGTCGAACTATTCTTTACGTGCCAATTAGGATTCACGCGATACTCATTCAGTATGGTAATTGCTGTAATACCAAGTGTCTTTTTCTTTTCGAGCTATGCGCACCTGCACGCGCTTACATGAATAATTGAAGTATCATCCCCGTTGCGTCGCACGCAGCAGCTCAAGTCTAAATTTATCCACAGATATTCCTTTTCCTCCCCCCCCCCCTCCCATACTTTCGCAAACGAGAAAAAAAACGAACCGCGGTAATTGGCTGGCTAAGTTAATTGCCGACGTCGATTAGACGAAAGAAAACAAACCCGTTGATCTCGTTATCAAACTTAAATCTCCACTGAGGCTAGCTTGCCAGCGGTGAATAATAATCGACAGCAACGGCGACGAATTATCCAGCAATTAGCAGCGAGCAAAGAAAAAAAAAAGGTTAAAAAATAAATACGTAGAGGTGCATTGGTCAACACTCGTTACGATCGTTGTTTTTGCATCCCTGCATTGTGCGCGCTCGTTAAATATTTATCGTCGATCGCGTGAACGATTCCTTTATTTTAGCCCTTCTCTCACGCACCATTAGCGATGCGGCCCGCGAGCGCTGATTTCGTGGAAGAAATATTAGAATACGCGCAGATCATCGGCCGGATAACGACGATTTCTTTCCTCTTGCTGTATGTATTATATGTGTATGCGCCTCATTCGAGGAGGTGCGAACCGTTCGCACCTTCTCGCGACGACAGCTCGAATACCAGATGCAACTCTCTGGGATACAGTCTTATCTTGCCTCGTCGATCTCTCTAACGTGACGAGCTGACCACCATCGCCGCGCCTTTTCTCTTCGTAGGGTTTTTTTCTTCTTTTTGCGAATTTTGCGGAGAATCATGCTCGCATCTCCGGAGGTAGAAGGAGTTTATTAGAAATTCGGAGACGAATTATACAAACGGTGTAAGGTGTATAATCATCAGGTTTTTTTTCGTGAAAGAATGGAACAATTGTGACGAACGATCGGGAATCTTTCTCGGAATGTTGAGGGAGAGATTGCAACCTGTAATTATGTAGATGCAAGTAATGAGTTTGGCCGGCCGAAGCTGTCGAATCGCATTGATTGCCTTAGATCTTCGATTTCCTGTCGTTAATTGTGCATTCTTTTCTGTTGCAGATGCATGCGAACCCATGACGGATCGACCATACGGTGAGTGCTATGAGTACGACAAACGAAAAACACATCACAGCTATTTTACTCGGCGGCAGCAGGTGCGCGTGCGTTTCGTTAACGATCAATCGTATCTCTCGCGGCTCCGCGCACAGAAATCCACCAGCGAGCACGCCGAGCTCGTCCTGTCTGCGTATAGTTTGAATTCCTCCTCTCCTGGCCCTCCAGCTTTTTCCATACTGTCGGCAAAGTGTCGCTAGCGATGAAGGCAAAACTCTCACCTGCCCGCTTATACACTGCGTGCGAATACAAAAGTTATATCGTCGAGTATTTTTTTAAGCTCACGGTCATGCCGACACGATTAGACTCCGAAGCGATCCTATTGTTGTATCACTTGGTGACGCGGATGCTTCAAAAAATAAGTTTCACGTGTAATTTGAAAAATACATGCATATTTAACTGAGATTTTCGTCGCAATGCAAATGCCAATTGATACAATTATTTGAAAGTAAAATAAAAGTGATGGCGTAATTGGCAATAAAGTGCAAGGGCAAGGCGCATAGGCTGAAAGTAAAGCTAATGGATAAAAGCAAGATTGTAAAGATGTTAGCAAGTCCCTCCCTCATCCTTGACATCCACGGGAGACGCAGTAGCGGCGACAATATCGAAAGTATCTCTGCCGGCGCGCGTGCAGGTTTAAAATAAACACGGCCTCCAGGCTGAGCTGTCAGTATGCGCGTACAAGGATAGAGAGAGAGAGAGGAATCAACAGGTCCGTTAAGAGAGTGTAAAGCGTTTTGAATCCACCCTCGACGACTCGCTAGTGCGGGGGTGTAGGTACCTACATGAATCCGTCAGCCTCGCGAATCTCCACGTCGTTTTTTTCCACTTTCCTTTTTTTTTTCTTTTTTCATCCTCCCCTCAATCCGTGCGTGTACAAAAAACGAACGTGAGTGGGGAAATTCAACCCCTATAGCCGCTTGTTCTTTTTTTTTCTGTATCTTCTGTAGGAGGAAGCGCCAAGACAGCCGATTAGGGCGTAGAAAGCATGGGTATGTATATATATGCGCGATCCCCTACGGAAAACTTAAAATAACATCGGTCCGTCATTGCTATCTGGGCTACTTTGGTATTCCCTGTGAGCTGCTGCTGCTGCCATCCGCACGCGATATATATTCCACGGCAAAGCGATTTGCGGCATTCCTCGCATTGTTACACTGTGTTTTGTTGCGTTATAATAGCTGTTTGTGGGGTGGTGCTAGAAATAAAGGCCGTTTTAATGATGCTGGTCTCCTTGGAGAGATGTTCCCGTGCGAGGCAAATTGTGTTTCCGCTTGTAGTTTTTCTCGTTATCGCTCCGAACGGCCGTCCGGATAATAATAAGTGCATCGCATTAATTACGAATTTCGCATGAAGCGCGCATTGGCAAATGTGATTTCGCGGGGCTTGAAAGTGCCGCAAAGAAAGCGATTAACATGAGAAATAAGTGGCCCGTATAATGTCAATATTCGTAAAAGGAAAGTGCCTCGTTACGCGTACTCGAACCTCGTATAAATACGATCGGGCCCGACAACGGCAATTTGTGAATTAAGGCGACGGCCGAAAATTCAATTTTTCGAGCGAGCGCTCGGACGCTCGATATTCGCGCCAAGATCCGGCAATTAATTAAACAAGCCCGGAGTAGGCACGCAAAGAGCGCGCCCGCCACCGAAGCGTCGGCATACGAGTATACCGGGGGTTTCGCGCTCGCGCTCGTAAACGCCGGCAGGTGCGCGCAAGCTCGCTCTTCGTCTCTCTCGGGGCCAGCAGGACCAATTACAAAGTCTTGCGCGCGAGCTTATAAAAGTGCTCGCTCTCCGGGACTGCCATAAAAGTCAAGCGAGCACGTGGCGCGCGAGTGTATTGAAAGGTTGAGCACCCCTTCGATGCTCATTACAGCGTGTCCCGCCCCCGGCGGCAGGTAATCAGCCTGCCTCGGGTGGTGGGAGAGAGGCACCGCGAGAGAGAGAGAGAGAGAGAGAGAGAGAGAGAGAGAGAGAGAGAGAGAGAGAGAGAGAGAGAGAGAGAGAGAGAGAGAGAGAGAGAGAGAGCGAGCGAGCGAGGGCGGTGTAGCTGACCTCGCCTGCGGCTCCCAGCTTCTCTTTGTCTCACTCGCACTCCTGCGAGACAAGCGCAGAGCATCCGCGAGAGCACTACCTTCCTCCTCTTTTTGCTCTTTCATTCATCCGAACATCGGCTTGGCTTTCTTTTCGGCTGTATATATACGCGGACCCATTCAACTATACCTGCCAGTGAGCGAGCGGCTGTTTTGAATCTCTTCCTTTTCTTTCCGCGCAAAGATTAGTCTGTTTCAGCAGGGTTTGACGATATGCTAATGAAATGTCTGTAATCGACTATTGATGTATTTATGGGCGCTTTTGCTGAAATCATTTCACTTGAGTATCTAATATGCTCCAACAGTTCTCATGTTTGTTGTAAACCAACGCGGTCAAATTTTAGACGAAATATGTCTAAGGGACAACCGAAATCATCTATAATTCACATCTGTTAAATCACCTGATAAATCATCAATAAATCGATAGGTTATACTTTATTGTAACATATATTTTCTTCAATTAATTAATTTTTCACATACTTTAAAAGTCCTCTATTGATTACAAGATGAAACAGAAACGTAATTGATTAAATATTTTAATGTCGCTTATAATAAACCCCTTGAAATAAACGCAATAAATTTAGAACTTTGGTTGTAACTTTGGACGTTTGTGTTCGCACTTTTACATTGATTCACACTATTGAACTCGGCAACATCGGCAACACTCGGCAACTCGGCAACACTCGGCAAGTAAGAAAAAAGGAAGGGGAAGAAAAAGGACAAACGTCCGCAGTTAATTTTCGCGAGCTCATCATCATTCAGAGCGGAGAGGCGCGATTAATCGCGCGCCGAGCGTTTTAGGCAGGAAGCGTGCCGTGCAGGTGGCGATGCCGAGCTTAGGACGAATGTGAATAAGGGAGTCTCGTTGTTTATGCAGGCGTGCGCGAAGCAGGAAGAGCGAAAGAGAGAGAGAGAGAAGAAACCGTGAGCTTGTACGCGCATTTTCGGCAAGACGTCTCGATGAGCAATCGGTAGTGGTACTCTAGAGGCCCTTCGACGATTATCCCTTCCATTTGCAGCGCGTGCCAGAAATGCAGATAAGATCGTAAACAGCGCTGCGAGCAGTGTATTTTTGAACGTTTAGGAATTTTGTCAGATGAGCCATTTTCTTGACCGTAGGCAATTCGATCGTATTGAAGTAAAAAGAAAGAAAATCAATTGACATTACGGTCAATTTTATGAACATCCTTCAATCGACGGCTTATTGCAGTGTCTCATTCGTTAACTCACCTCTAGGTGGACAGTAAACTTTATCTCGCTCAAAAAAAAACCGCTCGTCGCAACATTATGTGAAATTGTTATATTATTATCTGTGACATTAGCGGTAGCCGCTCGTCGAGTAACTCATAATGTTGCTTTGATTGCCATTTGGTATATTGAAATGATCAAAAATAAAAAGATAACGACAGAAGTAAAGTGATTCGAACAATTTGCATTGTGTCTCTGGAACCACGTACGGCATTGCGCGGTTTCTGAATAGTGCTCTAGAAAAGGACAGTAATGCTCGCGCGATAACTGTTTGCAGAGGTACTAGCAAAAAAAAACGTAAAATAAAATAAAAAGAAAAAGATTTAGCTGCACATTCAAGGAACGATATGAAGCTGTGGCAGACATGGAGAACGCACTCGTCATCGGTAGGATTTCCCATAGTGCTTGGCATCGTTCTCGGAAGCAGCCATAAATTCTTTTCTTTCTCCCGGGAATCGAGATCTCTCTCTCTCTCTCTCCGCGCGTGCGCGCAACAGTATTTGCCGTCCGTTAGCCGTGGCAAGTCCTGTGCACGTCTCCGAGAAGAGAAACGGAGCAAATTCCTGGGCACAGCTCATTAGGAAAATTTGCTTGCTGCAGGCCGGCTTAGGACGCATCGAAAAACCACTTCATCCGTGCGTGCTATCGCGAGAGGCTGATCATCGGCTAGCGAGGGTGCCACGGATAATTCGGTCATTAGCGATGAACGAGAGAACGGACGAGGCCCGAAGAAAAAGAAAACGGCAGCGCAGCGCCGCCGAGTCCCAGAGTCGCTCCGCCGCCGCCGCAGGGCAAAAACAATTCCTTTCGGCGCGGCGTCTCGAATCTCGGAATCCCGAGCGTCAGCGGCGGCCGCCCGCGTCCCTTATTCGTCACTCGGAGCGCGCGCGCCGCTGCGATAATTTTCTGCCGAGTTCCTACGCAAATGCGCTCCTCTGATCTCTTCGGCGCGCTCGCTCGGTGGTGCGCCGGGGCAAAAACGCAACGGGAAGAAGAAGTGGCGCGCGCAACCACCTTCGCCGCGGGCATGCCTCATTGTCGTGAGCGTCTTTGTCGCTTCGCGCATGCATAATGCCCTTTCTGCAGCGCTGCATCGCGCGTCGACGCTGCCGCGGAATTGCCGATCGTGAAAAGCATTGATTTCTCGCCTGCGGCTTTCGTAATGCCCTCCTGGCCTTGACATTAATTACACTTGACACGACAAAGTAATAACGAATTGAATGGAGCGACGACGAGCTTTGGCAGCGTCGCAATCAAGCGGCGGATATTGCTTGGGGCGATCGGCAGCACCCAATTTCGGCGCGCGTCTAATTTGAAAATCTGGCGTACAGCAACCGAATCGTTACTTCTCCGCGACGACGAAGAGGCATATTCCCAGCTGACGTCAGGATTCCTTCGCGGTCGGCGCAGTAGCAGCGGCGAGATCATGAATGGATCTCGCCACGGATCCGGCCGGAGGCCTATTATTTAGCATAGCCACTTTTTTTCGACGAGTGCCGCCGTCGCCGCCGCCGCCGCCGCCGCCGCCGCTGCTGGCGGCGTTGTCTTTGTGGAGCGTTCGCTGCCTCGAATGATGATGACGATGCACCCTTTCGCCCAACCTCGCCTCCATTTCTTTTCTTTATTTCGCGTCGTT